TTCTCTCTGGCTGCTTCCTGCTTACAAGTTGGTGTTGACATTAGGGGTAAAAGGCCAGTATGTGGCAGAGAGCAGCAGTTGTCCCTTGGTAGGTGTGAATCCTTAGGTGATGTCTGCCAGAAGCAGGTCTCTTGGATGAAGTCTGGAGGAAGTCTTCTCAGGCAGGGGGCTGGACAAAGATGAAAAGGAAAAACATTACTGAAAATATTGGATGTCCATGGCTTGGAGGTGGCCTAAGGGATGAGGGAGTGATGTGTGTGGAGAGGAGAGCAGTTAGATCAGTGCTACGCACCCCGATCTTCAGGGATGGGAGATAGCCTTACCCTGGTAGGCCCAAGGGGGAAAAAGGTGTACCTGGAAGTCAGTGTTGGTATAGAAATGGTACGAGCTGGGTGCCTATGGCTCACGCCTCTAAACCTAGCTGCTCGGGAGACTGCAGGAACGTCTGTGAGACTCTTATCTCCAATAATCCACTCGAAAACCAGAAGCGGCACTGTGGCTCAAGTGGTAGAGCACTCGCCTTGAGCTGAAGAGCTGAGGGACAGCGCCCCAGCCCAGAGTTCAAGTCCCATGACTGACCAAAAAAAAAAGAAATGGCAGGAGCCCTTTTTATTCTTTTCTTTTTTTTCGGTCGTGGGGCTTGAACTCTGGGCCTGGGCGCTGTCCCTCAGCTCTTCAGCTCAAGGCGAGCGCTCTACCACTTGAGCTACAGCGCCACTTCCGGTTTTCTGGTGGTGTATTGGAGATAGGAGTCTCACGGTCTCTCCTGCCCGGGCTGGCTTTGAACCGCGATCCTCAGATCTCAGCCTCCTGAGTAGCTAGGATTACAGGCTTGAGCCACCAGCGCCCGGCATCCCTTTTTATTCTTGACAGATGGATCCACTGTGGCTGTCCCTTGAGCTTGACTGCTGTGGGGGTAGTCAGCAGAACCTGGTGAGAGCCTGTTCACTTAGGGCGTAAACCAGATGGATTAAGGGTCTTGAGAAACACTTGATTGCCAGGCAGAATTGGGAGAGTGGGAAAGGGGCCTTGATGAGGCTGAGGGAGACACTGGTCAGCATGTTGGCGCAGCATGTGCCTAAGAAAGGTTAGGATGGAAAGGTAGTCTATTAGTGGAGGCTTGGTATGGTCAGCAGGGAAATTACCTAGGAGAAAAGGTTTTCCATACATCAACTCAAAGGGGCTGAGGAAAGTAGGGCTGTGGGGAGAAGCACGTAAGTGGGTGAGCGCCAGGGGTAACAGTTCTGGCCAGGATTGCTGGAGCTCTAGAGAAAGTTTAGTAAGTTGTGTTTTGAGGAGCGCATTAGCTTTTTCAACCTTTCCTGAAGACTGAGGCCATAAGGAATGTGAAGATTACACTGGATGTTAAGAGAGGATGCCACCTGTTGGGTCACTTTGGAGATGAAAGCAGGTCCGTTGTCAGATTGAAGTGACCTGGGTAAGCCAAACCTAGGAATAATTTCTTTAATAAGGACGGAGGCAACAGTGTCAGCAGTCTCCTGAATAGGTATCAACCATAGTTAGAAGGTATTTCAGCTGCTTACATCTGGACATGTGAGTGAAGTCTATCTGCCAGTCTTCCCCTGGGGTATGTCCCCGTGCTTGGTGTGTGGGGATGCAGCTGGTCGGAGACCACCCTGTGAGCAGGTAAGGGCACACGTGGGGCAGGCTTGGGTAATAGCCTTAGTCGGGTAGTTAGGCTAGGGCAAGGGATTAAAGGTTTAAGAAGGTGGGAGAGGCTTGTTCCAATGTGCAGCGCCTGGTGAACCTGGGAAAGAAAGCTGTCTGCTTGTGTCTCAGGAAGAACAACTCGTCCTCCTGTGCTTCCTGGGAGGCTCTCTGGTGGGTAAGTTCCTCGAGCTCCTGTGGGGTATAAGAGGGTTGTATTGAAGGCAATACCCGAAACAAGGGAACTGGATGTTGTTCCTGAAGTTGTCTCTGGGCTGCTAGCTTTGCCTCCCGATCTGCTTTTGAATTGCTGACTGTAATGGCATCCAATCTCGTCTGGTGTCCCCTGCAGTCTGGTGTCCCCTGCAGTGAATGACGGCTACCTGTTGGGGAAGGGAAGCAGCTTCTAAAAGCTTAAGAATAAGTGACAGCTGGGTGCTGGTGGCTCACGCCTGTAATCCTAGCTACTCAGGAGGCTGAGATCTGAGGATCGCGGTTCAAAGCCAGCCCGGGCAGAAGAGACCGTGAGACTCCTATCTCCAATAAAAACCACCAGAAAACCGGAAGTGGCGCTGTAGGTCAAGTGGTAGAGCGCTTGCCTTGAGCTGAAGAGCTGAGGGACAGCGCCCAGGCCCAGAGTTCAAGCCCCACGACCAACCAAAAAAAAAAAAAATAAGTGAGGCATTAGTAATGGGAGTCCCTTTGGTGGTCAGGAAGCCACGCTCCTTCCAGATTGCTGCATGCGAATGGAGAATGTGGTAGGTATATTTTGAGTCTGTATAAATATTAATCTTCTGTCCCTTGGCTAAAACTAAGGCCCTAGTTAAAGCTGTAAGTTCTGCCTTTTATGAGGTAGTACTAGGGGACAGAGGGCTGCGTTCAAGAATGGTACAGTTATTAATAATGGCATAGCCCACAACTCGGCTTCCTGAAGGGGTAGATGTGGAACTGCCATCGATGTACCAGGTGTCATCTGGGTCAGGAAGAGGAGTTTCTGAGAGGCACCATTTATGGTAGGTTTTTAAAAAGAGGTTGCCAAATAAGAACCATACCATGCACGTGGTATTCAGGTTAGGGGTAGGTTTATTCCGTAGACCTGCTGGGACCAGGCCAGGTTGGCACTCCAGGTTGGCAAAGAGGGCGTTGGCCCTGGGCTAGGCCTTATCTAGGGTAGGGGCAGGGAAAAGTGTGGCCAGGTAAAAGGAGGTGGGACCAGATGGGAGAAAGGTGTTGCCACATCAGATCCAGATGTGACCTCAGCAGATGCGGATGTGGCCTCTTCCAGGTGTGCCAGTTGCCTAGGTAGCACAGGTACTGGGTGGGATCTGCTTGCCATCCAGGAGTGGACCTTAGAGTTATCAAGATGAGTGTTACTGGCCCACAAAGGAGTCACAGTTGTCCCTCAGTAGTCTAGAGTTTTGGCTCCTCGACTCCCCCTCCCTGAATGATTGTCCAAATTCAGGGACCTGGGACACTTGCATAAAATGTCACAGTAGATAAACGTTCATCCATACACTTTAAATCGTCTAGATTATTTATAATAGCCAATGAAACAGCAGTACAGTGTCAGCGCTGTGTAGACAAATGTCACAGCTATGTTCACAGAGCAGCATTCTGTGCAAAGGAAGAAGGTCCACGTGTTTGGTATAAATGATTGTGTGTGATGGTATTAGGGTTTGAATTGAGGATGTCAGGTTTCTTAGGCAGACCTATAGCTTCAGCCATGCCTCCAGCTTTTTTGGATATGGTAAATTCACAATTGGTGGAATCCACGACTTTGGAACCCAATAGTTGGGGCACTTCCTCTTAAATATTTTATGTGTATGTGTGTGCATGTGTATGTGTGCATGGGTTACGCACTAGTACTGGGCTTGAACTCAGCGCTTTGTGTTCTTTGATTTTTCACTCAAGGCTGACACTCTTGTCACTTGAGCCATGCTTCCCATTCCAGCTTTTTGCTGGTTAATTGGAAACAAGAATCTCTTAGATTTGTCTGTCAGGGTTGACTTCAAATCTTGACTGTCCTGAGTAGCTAGGTGTCCAAGTGTCTGCAATATAGCCGTTTTGGAAACCTTGCAAATCATCTTTGCTTCTTCATCCTGCCAGGAGGGCATCTGCTCTGCCCCCCTCTCCTCCCTGGTGTCCACTGCCCTTCCCATATGTGCATGGTGAACCACACTGCTCCTTGAGGATGTCCCCTCTTCCCACCTCCCTTCTTCATTCCCTACCTTTTGTCTGTCAGTATCTTAGTTCTCCTGTCTCTGCATCTTCTCTGCCGTCTCTGCATTGCTGTGTTGCTCATTAGAGCCAGACCTGGAGCTTCTTTTGGCTTTTCTTCACCTTCCTTAGCCCCAGCCATTCCGGCTTGTGACCTCTCACCATCCGTCCTGTCGCCTTCTGTATTGCCAGATCCCTTGTCACTTTTCTGCCCATGTTTAATCAGTTAACTTCTTAATCAAATTCTACCTTCTCTCCCTCTGTAAGCTTTATTGGTGCTCTTGATTTTCCTCTCCTCTGTGTCTGGTAGACCTCCATTCCTTTTCAGGCAAGTCTTGCGTCTCTATCAGGAAAACCATGTCCTGGTCTAGCATCTCTGCTTTCTCCCAGAGAGCCATCAACATACTTTCTACCTATTCGCTTTCTGGAGAAGTTGTATTTTTCCTTGAGCAGTTAGCCTCTCTTTTGAGCTCTGGGCTTGCATAGTTACCTGCCTTTTGGGCACCTTCGCATGCACTTGACCCCTCCACATACCCCATTCTTAACCTGGCTCCTCTGTTCACCCAGCATCCCCAGCAGAGAACTCTTACCTGAGTCAAGTTGCTAGTTACTGCCTTTTCCATCTCCCCCTGGTGTTTAGAATCCATGACACTCTTTCCAACTGCATCCAGCTGCCTCGCTCTGGCTAAAGGTGTGGCTCAGCAGTAGAGTGCCTGCCTAACACATGTGAGACCCTGAATTCAACACACCAGGACCACTCAGGATCACACAGTCGGCTCCCAGCCACCTCCACTGTCTCATCCCTGTGTATTTTTCACACTGGCCAGTGTGTGCCCTTACTGTTTCATAGCTGTTGCCGCTTCCTTTCTTAGATAGCAGCCAAGTTAGATTGTAACCCTCTCCCGCTTTACGCCCGTTAGCAGCTTCCTGTCACATTTTAGATCAAATCAAAGCCCCATGGGGTGGCTTAAAAACAGTCAAAGATCAGACCTCACCTACATTTCCATCCGTTCTGCTTGTTGCAGCCTCTGCCTGCTGACAGGTTCTTCGAATGCATACCTTGTTGTTTTCTTGGGGTGTCCCCAGTGTAGCACACTGCCTGCTGCAACCCCAAGGGCAGAGAGCCTGTACCCCGAGTACACGAGGCACCTAAAGGCTGGGGCCTCATCTGGGTGCACAGGTTTTGGCAGAAGGATGGAGTTCGCCAGCCCAAGGCCGCTCAGATCCTGGGACCGAAGACTGTATCCTCTACTGCAAGTTTCTGAGCGTGATCCAGAAAATCAATTTCCTAGGTTCTGCTCGTAAAGAGTAAAGTATCTTCCTCTTGCCTTTGTCCTTTAGCGACCTAGTCCCCTGCAGAGCCCATGATGCCTTCAGTGTCTTGGGTGTCTTCCTGTGCATGATGTGTGCAAAGCCAGCCAATAAAGTAAAACTGTCTCCAAAGACAAAAGGAAAGCTGGATGCCGGGCTCACACCTATAATCCTAGCTACTAAGGAAGCTGAGGTCTGCGGATCATGGTTCAAAACCAGTCCAAGGAAGAGACTTATCTCCAATTAACCACCAGAAAACCAAAAAACAATATAGTGCTGCAGAAAACAAGGAGGTGTGTGAATCTGAAGAACGGGTCAGCAGGCAGAGGCTGCAACAGCGGAGCAGTAGCCAGTGCCCATTCTTCTCCCATAGCAGAGAGCCCCACCCCACATTTTGTGTTTTACACTTACTTTGACTGTGTGTGTCAACATAAAAAATGTTAATACTCTTTTTGTTGGTTGTGGTTGTTTGCTTTTTTTTTGGGGGGGGGGGTCCGGTCATGGGGCCTGAACTCTGGGCCTGGAGCTAGCCTTGAGCTGAAGAGCTGAGGGACAGCGCTCTACCACTTGAGCCACAGCGCCACTTCCAGCTTTTTTCTTTTTGCTTATGTGGTGCTGGGGAATGGAACCCAGGGCCTCAGGCATGCAGGGCAAGTGCTCTACCACTGAGCCAACTTCCCAGCCCCCCCCCTTTAGTCACGGGGCTGGGCTATTTTGCTCAAGGCTGGTGCCCTACCACTTTGAGCCACAGTGCCACTTCTGGTTTTCTGGGGGTTAATTGGAGATGAGTCACTTCCCTGGGCTGGCTTTGATCCATGATCCTGAGTAACTAGGATGACAGTGAGCACTGGTTCCTAGCTTTGTTTCTGTCTTTTGAGACAGGGTTTTATTATGTAAGTTTGCCGGAGTACAACTTGCAGTTCTCCTCCCTCCAAGTGCTGGGACTGCAGGAGTGTGCCACCACGTCCGGCTAACCCTATTGGCCTTTTATTGTACGTATATAGTGTGATTTATTTTATCCCTCATGAAAACTTAGTTTGTCCTTACTGTCTACTGTTACTACTGCAGTAGATAAATAACTGCACACACTGCCTTGCATGTTTGTAACTGACTTTAGGACTCATTCATAGAAGCATGTGCTGTTTGTGAGACAGCACTGCTGAGAGTCACTACAGAGCTCTGAGGACCTTCGTTTGCTCAGCTGACAGGAGTCTCTTGCCCCATAGCTTTGCCTGCTGTTTATCAAGATCTTTACTTTTTGCCAATCCTGTAGTTAAAAACTGGGGTTTTAGGATGCTTTATTAACTCTTACTTTTGAATGGAGTTGAGGCTGGAATTCTTGTCATGCATTTATACCACTTATTTTCTGTGAATTTCCTCTGTTCCTTTCCTTCCTGTGTTTCCATTAAAATGTTAGTTCTTAGTTATTTGTCAGTACGCATCATACCTTAGTTCTTTGTGAGATAAATTGCAAATATTTCCTTCTCATTTCTTTTAACTTGGTTCATCATGTTTTGCCATGTGGAAATTTCATAAATCTGCATATTTGAAGATAGATCAGTTTTTATTTTAGCGCTTCAGGTTTGATGTCAAGGTTGGGACTCATGTTCCCTCATTATAAAACAATGTCTCCAGGGCTGGGAAGGTAGCTTAGTGGTAGAATGCTTGCCATGCATTTATGAGGCCCTGGGTTCGATTCCTCAGCACCACATAAGCAGAAAAAAAAGACAGAAGTGGCACTGTGGCTCAAGTGGTAGAGCACTAGCTTTGAGGAGAAGAGCTGAGGGACAGTGCCCGGGCCCAGAGGTTAGGCCCATGACCAGACCCAAAAAAAACAACAGAACAACAAAAAACACAAAAAACAATATCTCCAGTGTTTCTAGCTCCTTTAGGGTGTATATGGAATTTGTTCTGGTTTGCCATGCAGAATGAGTCAGTCTCAAGTTTTTCATCTTGTAACTGTTCCGTAAGTGCTTGATAGCTTTGTAATTTTGTAATTTTGTTTGTTTGTTTGTTTGTGGGGCTTGAGCTCAAGGCCTGGGTGCTCTCCCTGGGCTCTTTTTGCTCAAGGCTAGTGCTCTACCACTTAGTCACAGCTCCATTTCCAGTTTTTTTTTGTTGTTGTTGTTTGTTTTTTTGGTGGTTAATAGGAGATAAGAGTCTCACGGACTTGCCTGCCAGTCTGGCTTCAAGCTGCAAACCTCAGATCTCAGCCTAGTAGCTAGTGTTACAGGTGTGAATCACCAGCACCTGGCTTTCAGCTATTTTCTTTTATCCATTGACTACTCATAATAATTTTCAGTTGATTTTCTTCATGTGTCTGCTCTGTGTTTTACATCTACATGCCATGAACTCTACCCCTAAGTCCTTTTGTCTGATTGTGTTGGTTGTGCATACAGAACAGTGTTAGGTGTTGTGGTGCTTGGAGATGTCGTTGCTGTGTGCCTGGCTTTCATGAAAGTACTTCTGTAGTTTTCCTTTGGCCCTGATGCTGGCCTGTGGGTTAGTTTAGATAATGGTCATTGGTACTGTTGATTACTTTTTTTTTTTCCCTTCCTGATAAATAATAGGACATTCTTCCCTGCCCACTTAGAGTTTGGTTTGGTCAATGCACCGGGAATATTGTGCTTTGGGTCCCTTCTGGGCCAATATCTTTAAGAGCCAGCTTGGAAATTATCCTTCCTCCTGCCTGGAGAATAGGCATGGCCCTGATAGTGGGCTCCTTCAGCCTGGGTTCTGCGGAGAGCACCATAGAGCAAGGCCAAGGCTGCCTTCAGTGGAGTTGGAGTGAGGAATACACTTAGATTGGGTAAAGACACTGGAGCCTTACATCATGCTGTTGAGCCAGCGTGTGATCCTGACCCAGCTGACAATGTGTATTCACCCCTCTCCGGAAGTAATACTGAGTTGCATTTTGTTACATACCTCTTCAACATACATGGAGACAGTCATATGGTTTTTGCTTTAGGTTTATTATATTACTAGGTTGTGTAAAATTAAACTCTCTTGCAGTTGTGAAGTGCGTTTGCTCATATTATGTACTCTTTAGTGTGTTGTTCAATTCCTTTTGCTAATACTCTGTTGAGGAATTTCTTTTTTTTTTTTGGGGTCCGGTCGTGGGGCCTGAACTCTGGGCCTGGGCACTGTCCCTCAGCTCTTCAGCTCAAGGCTACTACTCTACTACCTGAGCCACAGCGCCACTTCTGGCTTTTCTCTTTTTGCATATGTGGTGCTGAGGAATCGAACCCAGGGCCTCAGGCATGCAAGGCAAGCACTCTACCACTGAGCCACCTTCCCAGCCCCGAGGAATTTCTTTTTAACACAACTGAGATTGATTTTTTTTTTTTGAGCAAACTTTACAGCTTTTGGATACCAGTACTTGCTTCATAGAGGCAAATTGAAAGGTTTATTTTTCCTATTCTCTGAAGCAATGTAAATAGTATTTAAATTATATGTTCTTTAAAGATTTAATGGAATTACCAAAAGCAGCTTTTATTTTTTTTAAAGTATAACTTGTTTTGTTTTGGTGGTACTGAGGTTTGAACTCAGCCATGCTGCCTGCCCTCTTTTGCAAGGTTATTTATGTGTAAGTGTGTGTGTGTGTACTGGTACTAGAGCTTGAACTCAGAGCTTTGGCCTTTTCATTCACAGTTGGTACTCTACCATTTGAACCGTGCCCCTCTTCTGGCTTTTTTTCTAGTTAATTGGAAATAAGAATTTTTCTGCCCAGGCTGACTTGGAACTTCAATCCTTGGATCTCATAAGTAGCTAGGAATATAGGGCATGGGTCGCTGGTGCCTAGCTTCGCAGGGTACTTGTTGAATTAGGGTTGTGTTTTGTCGTCTCCCCTCCCCCTTCGTCCCTCCCCCCAGGTACAGACCTGGCAGAATGAAGGAGGATGCTTCCAATGTCAGCTTCTTCCCTGAGACAGAGTCTTGCAAACTTTTCTTCCTGGGCTCACCTGGAACCTTGATCCTCCTCATCTCCCTTTCCCATGAAGCTGGGATGACAGGTGTGCCAGAAAGCCCAGCTATTGGTTGAGAAAGGTCTTACAGACTTCCTGTCCAGGCAGGCTTTGGACTGTAATCCATTTCAGCTCCCACGTAGCTAGGGTGACAATGGGAGCTGTGGTGCTCAGCTAAGAATGACTGTTTAATTCACTTTCCAGTTGTTTCAGGATCACCAAACTAATTGTTAGGATTTATCTTTCGGGTTCTAGGCTGAGTTTCATATATGATTTAAGTATAAAACTTTTTTTTTTCCTGGAAAATGATCAGTGTTACCAAGTTCATGTGTTAACATGCATAGATTGAATCTTTCAGCTTCCTCTCTATGGGTATTCCTTATTCCTTGGTGCATTGGTGCATCGTGCCTGTCTCCTGGGAGGGACTTGGGCATTAACTCTGGACCTTGTGCACACTGAGCACATATTCTACTACTGAGCCGTACCCCCAGCTCTAATGTGTTTCTGTTTGATTAGACAAATGGGACTATTTACTTGATTAGTTAGGGACCTAATTAAGATATCGGTATATTTTCAAGTTCCACAATATTGAAAAACATACACCATTGCTTATTAAGAACAAAGAACATAGTACTTTGTGACTCTGTAGTGTGGAAGGATCTGTTCCTTGCATTTCAGCAGTGGTTCATTAAGCATCCAGGCCCTCTGCTGGCGATGGGGAGCTTGGGGACCTGGTAGGCACTCATTGTCTTGGAGCCATCAGCCCAGCTGTTGAGGCCATTGGCAGTTAGGGAGTGTTCGGACTAGTGGCATTGGTGGGTGTCAGGCCTGGGGGCTCTGGGAGACCTTGGTGGGGGCTGGAAAGGGCCCATTGCCCACATCCGTATGGAGCCTGTGATCTCCTCGAGGGAACTGAGTTGGGCAAATAAAGAGGGCAGCGAAGGCTGTGGTGGGCATGGGTGGGGGCGCAGTGCTTCGAGAAGGACTCTGGTTGAAGGATGAATAGATATTTTGTAGCATATAAAAAGGAGATACCACTGGGGGAACTGAGCCAGGTGGGCTTTTGAAATGTTCTGTGCCTTAAGATGACAACTCTTGAAAAGTCAGCGAATGACTCAGTGACTACTTTTGAGATTATAGCACAAAAAAAGCTTTGTGCTTTTGTTAGGTAGCTTAGCAAACTCAACAGCTGGTGCATTTTAAGTAGAAAATGGGGGAAAAAATAAGCTCATCTAGAGCTCCCTATGAAAGCATAGTTAAAATAATAATTGGCACCCTTACAATAAAAAAGATTGGTCACAATTTGGGGGTGTGATTTTGCAGTCGCTTTGGTACCCATAGAAACTGGTCGTGCTTTAGCATAACAATGGACTTTTCCCCCTCTGCAGACTTTTGTCTTTTGGCCGATGAAAAGTTTGACTTCGATCTCTCATCTTCTTCCAGGTAAACACATTTTCTTCCCTATCCTGGCACTGCCACTTTCTTCCATTTGAATGCTGGTGTCTTTAGTCACTAATGATCCTTCCTTTAACATTAGCACAAATGAAGACGATGAAGTGTTTTTTGGACCTGTTGGGCACAAGGAAAGATGCATCGCCGCCAACATAGAATTCAGCGAGAAGCTTCCCGAGCAGCCCATGCTGCCAGCAGCTGCCAGCCCCTGCACCTGGAGCCCCCTCACCGGGGAGAAGTTTGTGGAGGTGTACAAAGAGGCTCACTTACTTGCCCTGCAGATAGAAAGCTGCAGCAGGAGAGAGGCGGCCCCACCCACCCAGCCTGAAACCTCTTGGAGCCAGAACACGGAAAGATTTGTCCAAGAATCAAAGTTAAAAATAAACCTCTTTAATAGAGTACAGGAAATGGAGAAGAGCCCCAAGTCTCTTAAAAGAGAAACATACTTCCTGTTGGATAGCCCCTTGAAGAGCTCCTCCGGAGACCAGCCCCACTCTGGGGAGCCCCAGCTCCCGCCTTGCTCCCCAGTGCTGCCTGCTGCTCCAGCCAGAGCCCACCCTGCCCCAATACCACCTCACTCATGTCAACCTTTGCCAGGGGGGCCAAGTGCTGCCCGCCCTCCAAATCACACTGTGCCTCCAAAGATGACCCGGTTGCAGCCGCCCCGAGCTTTGTCTGCGAGAGGCAAACACCTTCAGCTGGTCATGGAGAAGGTAGACAGGATGGGGGTTATTCAGACAACAAGCCCAGGATAGCAGCAGACACTAATGTCAGCTGTGTCAGGCACAGCAGAGTCCTGGGCGGGCTTAGGGAATGGAGAGTAACTGCAGATAGTGTGAGTGCTTGTGATGGCACCCCAAAACCTGAACCCTGGTCCAATGGGCCCTTGGGGTCCTTAATGCTTTCAGTAGAGACATAATGATGCCAAGCGGCCTCTCTGGCAGAGCTGAGCATGTAATGAAGTATCCTCTTGGCCCGCACATGGAAACATATAGAGCTAGAACCCAGTTCTTCGTGTCAGCCCTTAGCAAGGTGCCGTCACATCATTTTGGGGCATGGTGTTTGGTGAATTGAGGAGCGTAGTAGTATTTATGGGGAGGAAGTCCCGCCTGAGCTTGCTCTGAGCTGAAGACTGTATCCCCGGACCTTGTTGGAGGCCACATAGTTCTCACATTCCCAATGAACATTTCCAGCCCAAGAAAGAGACAGCAGCTAGTCCCTCCAAGGCGAGACCCCGAGATGACAGAGGATTCCCTGGGGAAGTGTGCCCAGACAGACCTTCCACTGCCCTGGATGCCACCACCCTGTCAGCGGGCGGAAGCCGCCTGGGTCAGGGCAAGCGGTCGCTCCCAGTCCCGAACAGGGTGAGTGGGAACGAGAGTGGTAGTGTTTGGACTTGTGGCATGGGTGGATGTCAGGCCTGGGTGCTTGGGGACCTTGCGGGGGGCTGGAAAAGGGCCCATTGTCCACACCAGTATGGAGCCTGTGATCTCCTAGAGGGAACTGAGCTGTGGTGGGCATGGAGTGGGGGGCACTTGGTGCAGAGCTCTCCGTGGCTTCAGGAAGGACTCTGGGAGTCGGCAGGTCCTCAGCGAGTTCATGTTACTGCCAGCGGGCGGAAGCCACTTAGGCCAGGGCGAGCGGTTGCTCCCAGTTCCAAACAAGGTGAGTGTGGGAATGAGGGCGGCTGTGTGGGAACAAGGTAGTGGCTGTGTACCATATGGGGTCTGTCTTTTGATCAAAAGCTGAGACCAGTGGAGAGGCTGCTTGGAGGAAGGCCTGCAAAGAAGGCAGGCTGGCAGTGTGGGCCTATAACTTCATGCGCACGGCAACTGCAGTTTCCTGGCCATTTGTTTTCTTGCATTGGCAGTGACTGAGCATTGTGTAAGAAATCACTGACAGTCCTTGTGAAAGGTGTCCAAGTTGGGGTCCCCAGATCTGCCATTCACCCTGCACCCTGGGGTCCTCAGGCAAAGGTTTGAAGTCTCCATTTTGAGAAGTCAGCCAGCTGTCTGCGTTGGTCAGATCCACATCTGGCTCCGTGATCACAGATTGAAAATTCAGAGCAAATAAGTTGCATCTGCTCTGACTTTTTTCTTGTCATTATTGACATTCTGGGGTTTGAACTCAGAGCCTCACACTTCTCAGCTCTACTACATGAGCCATTTCAAACCTTTTCATTTTTGAGTTATTTTTCAGGTAGGGTCTCACGTTTTACCTGAGGCTGACCTCTGACTCATCCTTCTGTGTATACAGGCACATACTACCATGCCTGCCTTATTGGATGAGGTAGAGGCTCACATCTTTGCGTAGTCTGGCCTTGAACCTTGGTCCTCTCAGTTTCTGCCTTCTGGGTAGTTGTTGGAATTTCGGGTGTGAGAAACTGTTCAGTAGCTTTTACCTGACACTTACATTGCATTGGGTACTATAAGTCACCTAGAAGAAGATGGTGAACAGTAGGTATGAGGACATGTGGGTTCTGTGCATACACTGAGCCCTTCCATAGGAGGGACTTGAGGACCCATGGACTCTGGTTTCTACAGGGGTCCTGAAAAAAAAATCCCCGCGCTATCAAGGGACAACTTAGCTTTTTTTCTGCAAATTCAAGATGATCATCATTAAATTATTAAAAATCACTTAAAAGTCCTTTTATAGAAATAAACATGGAGCCGGGTGCTGGTGGCTCACGCCTATAATCCTAGCTACTCAGGAGGCTGAGATCTGAGGATCGCGGTTCAAAGCCAGCCCGGGCAGGAGAGACCCTGAGACTCCTATCTCCAATAAACCACCAGAAAACCGGAAGTGGCGCTGTAGCTCAAGTGGTAGAGCGCTCGCCTTGAGCTGAAGAGCTGAGGGACAGCGCCCAGGCCCAGAGTTCAAGCCCCACGACCGACAAAAAAAAAAAAAAAGAAATAAACATGGGTGGAGGGGCTGGGAAGGTGGCTCAGTGGTAGAGCACTTGCCTTGCATGCCTGAGGCCCTGAGTTTGATTCCTCAGCACCACATAAGCAAAAAGAAAAAAGCCGGAAGTGGCACTGTGGCTCAAGTGGGAGAGTGCTAGCCTTGAGCTGAAGAGCTGAGGGACAGTGCTCAGGCCCAGAGTTCAGGCCCACGACTGGACCAAAAAAAAAAAAAAGAAATAAACATGGGTGGAAATTTATGCTGATTCTCTCTTTTTAACATTTGTCTCAGCTTGGGCTGAAGAAAACCCTGTTAAAACCACCTGGCTGCGCTAGCAGTCTCGCGAGGAAGCCCTCTTCCTCAGGGTCTGCTGTAAGTGTGTCTCCAGCAGCAGGGAGAGGTGAGTGTCATCTTCTCATGTCCTGACCTACACGACTGGCAGCCTTGGAATGCAGTCTATTCCTCTGACATCTTTTTAGAGAGCTGCTCCCCGGTCCTCTGCCTGGGTTCCTTCAGGACACTGGAGGGCTGGACAGTGGTCAGGGAAGACACTGTCCCATCCACCCTTGAGTACTTCATTGGTCTGCACAGTCACCCAGTGCCACCACATAGGATGATGCTTCCACAGCCTCATGTTTGTGTCATCAGACGCAGGGGCTAAGATCATATTGTCCAGGTCATTCGCATCTGGACAGTATGGAGGAGCCCCAAGACCATACCTGTGGAAATTTAGCCTGTATTTCTCTTGTCAAGCCAAGACTGCCATCTAGTGGTACAGGGCAAAACCCTTGTAGACACTGTCTATAGTCTACTGTCTACACTGTCCAGAACAGCATGAGGAAAGCATGGATTCTCATGTCAGACCCACCCAATCTGGAGTCCACTCTGCCACTCTCAGTAGTATTGGGGCTTGAACTCAGGGCCTGGGCTTTTATAAAAGCAAAGGCTAGTGCTCTACCACTTAGCCACAGATCCACTTCTAGCTGTTTGGTGGTTCATTGGAGATAAGAGTCACAGACTTTGCTGCCCAGATTGGCTTCAAATTGCAATCCTCAGGTTTCAGCCTCCTGAGTAGCTCAGATTATAGATATGAGCCACTGCTGCCCAGCTAGTAGTGAGACACTGGATCCTTGCCTTTACAAACCAAGGTGACAGTGTCCTCGGTGCAGGGTTCTTAGGATCCGCCACCTCCATGCCAGGGGACCACACGGAGGCAGGCACAAGAGAAAGATTATTACAAGGTTTATTGGAGGAGCCGTATTTCCCCCAGAGAGAGAGCACATGGCAGCCTCCACTATCTAGGTAGCAGCAAGGTCTAGGCGGTAGGAAGTGAGGTAGATGAGCGTTCAGGTGGGTCTGGGTGGAGAGAGGGAGGGGCCAACCATAAGGTGGGAACTCCAGGGCTGGGAGGGCTCAGGTCTGGGTGGAGCTGAGGACCAAAGGTGGGCACAATGCTTACAGTTGTGCGTCTCCTCTTGCAGCCAAGCCAAGTGAGCGGACAGGTATTCCCTCTGGCAGCTCCCGGCCTCTGTCGCATATCAGCAAGCTGAGCAGAGCAGGTCTCACCATGCTGCGCCAGCCTGTGCCAGCAGCCCCAGCAGGACCACCATGTGGGCTAGTCAGGAGGCCCGGAGTGGCCCAGGTGTCAGCAGAGCAGCCCAAGTTGCCCACCACCTCCCCTCTTGCCCAGTCCCAGATGCCTGAGGCTGGAGGCCTGAGGCTGGATCCTCACTCTGTTTCCTCGACATCTCAACTGAATGGAACTAGAGGCCTAAGCAGGCAGGACTTCTGTCTGAATGCCAAGACAAAGGCAGTGCTTGCCCCTGCAAATCCATTTAAAGTTCCTACGTGTCCTGTTGGTGAGTAACATAAGTGTTAATGTTTTTTTTGATTGTGGAAGAAATGCTACTTGAGATTTTTTTGCCAAGATATCCTCAGGTGCTGGCTCTGTTGGCTGTCTTTCCAAGTCGTGTCTGCTAGCTGCGCTGTGTTGCTCTGGGGATTCCCTGTCACCCCGTACGGGACAAATCATCGGGGTTCCCTGTTACCCTGTATGGGACAAATCATCGGGGTTCCCTGTCACCCCATGTGGGACAAATCATCGGGGTTCCCTGTCACCCTGTATAGGACAAATCATCGGGGTTCCCTGTCACCCCATGTGGGACAAATCATCAGGGTTCCCTGTTACCCTGTATAGGACAAATCATCGGGGTTCCCTGTCACCCCATGTGGGACAAATCATCGGGGTTCCCTGTCACCCCATATGGGACAAATCATCGGGGATTCCCTGTCTCCCCGTGTGGGACAAATCATCGGGGTTCCCTGTCCCCCGTTTAGGACAAATCATCGGGGTTCCCTGTCCCCCCATTTGGGACAAATCATCGGGTTCCCTGTCCCCCCGTGTGGGACAAATCATTAGGGTTTTCTGTCACCCTGTGTGGGACAAATCATTGGGGTTCCCTATCCCCCCATGTGGGACAGATCATTGGGGTTTCCTGTCACCCTGTGTGGGACAAATCATTGGGGTTCCCAGTCTTCCCGTGTGGGACAAATCATCGGGGTTCCCTATCCTCCCGTGTGGGACAGATCATCGGGGTTCCCTGTCCCCCCATGTGGGTGCTCTTGGGCTGTTCTTAGTCTTCTCACTGCTGTCTGCAGCAGCTCGGCTGCACTTTGCTCATCTCTGTGTTTACCTTGTTGGCAATGGCTTAGGCTTTGATCTATGGTTGATAGTTTCCATCAAGTCTGGAAAATGATGACATTACTTTTTAAAAATGCTTTCTCTATTCAGGCATTGGTGGCTCATGTCTGTTATCCTAACTACTCAGGAGTCTGAGGTCCGAAGATCACAGTTCAGTACTGGCCTAGGCGGGAAAGTCTGTGAGACTCTTTTCCAATCCACCAGCAAAAAGCTGAAAATGGAGCTATGGCTCAAGTAGTAGAGTACTAGGTTTGAGAAAAAAATTAGCTGAGGGATAGCACCCAGGCTCTTAAGTTCAAGCCCCAGAACTAGCACCAAAAAAAGAAGAAGAAAGAAAAATAATTTTCGTGTGTGTTTGTGTGTGTGTGCGTGAGTGTGTGTGTGTGTGCGTGAGTGTGTGTGTGTGTGTGTGTGTGTATGTGCACGCGTTAGTAATAGGGCTTGAACTCGGCCTCAAGCTCTAGCTTGGCTTTTTCACTCAAGGTTGGTTCTCTACCACTTGAGCCACACCTCCACTTTTTTTTTTTTTTTGCTGGTCAATCAGAGATGAGACTGCCTGGGGTGCTCTGAACTGTGATCCTTAGATCTAAGCCTTCTGAGTAGCTAGGATTACAGGTGCGAACCACCCGTACCTAGTTGGAAAAGCTTTTCTTTTTTTGGGGGGGGGGGTAGGGAGCCCTGAACTCTGGGCCTGGGCGCTGTCCCTCAGCTCTTCAGCTCAAGGCTAGCACCCTACCACTTGAGCCACAGCGCCACTTCTGGCTTTTTTCTTTTTGCTTATGTGGTGCTGGGGAATCGAACCCAGGGCCTCAGGCATGCAAGGCAAGCACTCTACCACTGAGCCATCTTCCCAGCCTGGAAAAGCTTTTCTTGTTTCCCTCTTTTTCCTAAACCTGTTGACATGGTTTCCTAGCCATCGAGGCGCTTTCAGCTTTTGTCTTGTGCTCCAGTTTGGATTGTCCCTAGTCATGTCTTCAGTTCTTGTATCTGTTCTTCTGCAGTCTAATCTGCCATGAAGCCTGCTCTAATTTCTGTCCTACTTTCCCATTTTTCTTTTACATCTTTGAGCATATTTATAATGGTTGTGGTGTTAAGTCAGTTTGTGATTGCATCTTCTCTGTCATTTTGGTGTCTGTAGCTAATTCTTTTTCTGGTTATGGTCACAGTTTTCTGCTGTTGGCTGTATCAGATATACAATTTTTAATGTCTAGATTGTGGGGTTTTGTTTTTTGTTTGTTTGTTTTAAAGAATTGAGTTTTGCTTTGTTGGGCTGGCAGTCAACATCCACTGCAGGCTTCTTAAGTTCTGATGGGGCAGGTCTGGAATAGGCCTGGGGATGGGGCCTTGGGCCTGTCACTAGCAAAGGCCTTTGCTTAATGTGTGTGTTCAGCTGGCTCTGTCCAGCCTGCTTCCTAGCCATGCCAGCGCCCTGGTTGCTGTTCCCAGTAGCTCTTCTTGTCTAACTCTAAGGAGTCTTGCCTTACATGGGTATGCTTCTGCTCTTCAGCCAGAGACTCGAGAGATTCCTTCTCCCTGTTGCTTTCTTTTCCCTCTTATTCCAGCTGTGTCAGACCCCTGGGCTCCAGCCTTTGTGTCCTCCTGTGAGGCTGGCCTGCCTTGAATGGCTGCATCCTGGGCCTTTGGCAGAAAGTGCCACACTGTGTCTTGCAGATGGAAGGCCATGTTTTGGTAAAGGCCCTGCACGTGAGCCTAATGGGTTTATGTCATACAAAGTTGAGTTTTTCATGAGCTTTGGCCATTATCACAGTGTTATTTTGTTATAGGTAACAGGTACATGTTTTAACAAGGAAAACAAGGAACAAAACTAACAAACGAGGGGCTGGGAAGGTGGCTCAGTGGTAGAGCTCTTGCCTTGCATGCATGAGGCCCTGGGTTCGATTCCTTAGCACCACATAAAAAGAAAAAAGCCAGAAGTAACACTGTGGCTCAAGTGGTAGAATGCTAGCCTTGAGCTGAAGAGTTGAGGGACAGCGCCCAGGCCCAGAGTTCAGGCCCCACGACCAGACCCCCCCAAAAAAAAAAAAAACCCAAAAACAAAAACAACTAACGAACGTGACAAACACAAGACTACATAATGGTTTTGAGTGAGAACCTAGGCTTGGCAGTGACTGAGCGAACAGGCCCAATGCTAAGGGAGCCAGGCTGAGATGCTGAGTGGTTAGCCTGTTCTGTGGCATGTGCAGTTCTCAGTCCCCAGACACAGCACAGCCACGTGGGCAATAGCACAGACATTTTCTTATGTAGCAAGTAACAAGTGCAGAGTAAAGACATGGGACCAGGTTGGATAAAGAGTTAGAAAGGAGCCACTAGTATGGTCTGGAAGAGGTAGCTGGAGTCACTCGCTGTGTTAGATACACCACAGGATCTGCTGACATGAGTTTCTCACTGTTGGTGGCTCCAGTGTCTGGCAAGGGCATGTGTGGTTGATGAACTTTCTGTGTGGCTCACGTATCGGGTCAAGGCTTATCCCTCAGTTTCCTCCAGGGTGTGCAGCTTCAGTTCATGGGGCTTTAGGAAAGAGCAGCTTTTTTTCTAGTAGATCTGTGGAGGAAAATTAAATTGGAGTTGTCTAAAAGTTAGGGTCCAGTCCAGTCTACAGGTAGTAATAACCTTGGAAGTAATGAGCAGAGCTACAATCTGGTACGTGTGTTACAGCTTTTTTTTTTCTTTTTTCTCTTTTTTGGCAGTGGCAGGGCTTGATCTCAGGGCCTAGGCACTGTCCCTGAATGCGTTTGCTCAGGGCTAGCACTCTACCACTTTGAACTGTAGCTCCACTTTTGGTTTTCTAGTGGTTATTTGGAAACAAGAGTCTCATGGACTTTCTTGCCCTGGGCTGGCTTTGAACTGTGATCCTCAGAGCCTCCTGAGTAGCTAGGATTACAGATGTGAGCCACCAGTGCCAGGCTGTGTTGTAGCTTTTCTAAAGAAAAGGCAGTTGTTAGCTGAATTAGTTTAGTTTTGGCTTTTTTTGTCTAATGATCTTACTTTAGAAACCTCTTGAGGCACTGAACATGTTAGCCTTTTTTTTTCTCATATCATTATTAAAGGACATTATTTTACAAATGTAGAGACTGAGGCTCAGAGTGGTAAGAGGCCAGCCAGGTGGCCATGGAAGGAGGGCAGACAGTAACTCTGAAGACATTACCTTCTCCCTCCCAGGTGGACAGCACTGGCTCTGATAAGATTTGCAATGTCAAAATCTGAGTAGACTTCATGGATGACGTTAGGAACCCAGGCTTGTCTTTGGTCTTGTTTTGCCGTGATTAGCTTTTCTTTTTCATGATCTAGTATGGCTGTACCAGCCCTAGCTCTTATTCCCAACAGTGGGAACTGGGGTTTGAACTCAGGGTCTGGGTGCCAATTCCTTAGCTTTTTTCTCAAGGTTGGCTCTTTTACCACTTGAGCCACAGCTCCACTTCCAATTTTTTTTTTTTTTCTGGTTAATTGAAGTTAAGAGTCTCTCAGGCAGGGCTGGGAAGGTGGCTCAGTGGTAGAGTGCTTTCCTTACATGCATGCATTAGGCCCCGTGTTTGATTCTTCAGCACCACATAAGTAGACAAAGCTGGAAGTGGTGCTGTGGCTCAAGTGGTAGAGCGCTAGCCTTGAGCTGAAGAGCTGAGGGACAGCGCCCAGGCCACAGGCTTCCTACCTGATTCTCCTGTGACTCAACGCACCCTTTTCTTTGTCTCAGGTGAATCCCCGAAAGGCATGACACCGAAGTCCTCCCGGGCACAGTGGCTGCAGTCGTGGGCAGCGGCTGGCAGGTAACTCACTTACATCTGCTTCCTTCTCCTTCCAATGAGGACTGAGACACTGCTGCTTCCTGGAGTGTGGGAGCTCCTGGGAGCCGCTGCATATCTGCAATCTGCAGGGGACTTGAAATCCCCCCGGTTTTGCAGTGGAGTGGTGCGCTCCCAGCCCTGCAGAATGGTCTTGCCACACTGAGGACCTCGAGTGGCAGCCCTGGCAGGCACCTGCTGATGCAGCCTTTCCTGACACTCGTGAGTCAGGTGCCAGCACTGCTCCCTGTGCTCCAAGGAGTCCTCACGCGTGGGGGGCGAGTGGGGAGGGACTAGGAGCTGCTGCATTCGTGACTCCCGGCCTGGGCATAGCAGAATAAGGTCTGGGCCAGGCTTCCGGACTGGGGCTCTGCCATGGAGCAGCTGTGGCTCTTCAGCAAGTGACGTGGTGATAGGCTTTCCTGGACTTGGATGTGACCACAGTATCCCTCACAGCACTGCCCTTGCTGAGGTAACTCCTGCCACACCAAGTGCCAGGAAGGGACAGAGTCTACCACCATGTCCTTCCACCTGGTGAGAATGCCTCCCCATCCTGGGGCCCGGCAGGGTCGTGCTCGTTGGCATCTTTGTCCTTGCTGGTGCTGTGGGAGCGCTGCCTCTCCACAACACCCCCACCCGCCCTCACCCCCGCCAGCATGCTGGGCGCAGGGAGCTTGCAGTCTCTTTGTCAGTGTTAGTGTACTGAAGAACCCAAAACTGCCCTTAGCTGAGGACAGAGCGGGTAGAGGAGTCCTGCCGTGAGCTCCATGTTGGAGCTCTGTCCTGAGTTGTTTCCTTTTCATGACTGCAACAAGCACTATAGTCTTGGTGTCATTTTGTCTTTAGGCAGAGTCTTTTTTTTATTTTTATTTTTTGTCGGTCATGGGGCTTGAACTCTGGGCCTGGGCGCTGTCCCTCAGCTCTTCAGCTCAAGGCGAGCGCTCTACCACTTGAGCTACAGTGCCACTTCCGGTTTTCTGGTGGTTTATTGGAGATAGGAGTCTCACGGTCTCTCCTGCCCGGCTGGCTTTGAACCGCGATCCTCAGATCTCAGCCTCCTGAGTAGCTAGGATTACAGGCGTGAGCCACCAGCGCCCGTCTAGGCAGAGTTTTGCGAAGTATCCCAGGCTGGCCTGGAACTCATACTCCTACTTCAGACTACCCAGGCTGAGGATCTTGGAGTTTAAATGACAGAACTTCGCTCTCCCAGCTCAATAACAGACTCGGTGTCTGAGAAGGGCCCATTGCTTTGGTCATGGTAGGACCTTCCCCCGTGTCTTCCTGTGGTGGAAGAGCGAGCATACGCTCTGCCTCCTGTGAGTCACTGTCCTTCCCACGCAAGGACGCTGCTCTCGGCCCTAATGGCCTCTCAGAGGCTGGCTTCCTAAGACCCTCTTCTTGGAGACTTGGACATAGGCATTTGAGGCCTACAAACATTCAATCCACACTCATTACAGCCTCTCCTCTATGAACAAAAACCAGCATTCTGGCCAGATGTGGTACTGTCATGGATAGTGCCAGGGCATGCCATGAGGAGAGCCAAACCTGGTTCCCTGTTTCTACTCCCGTGCTTAACCTTGACAAGGGTCTGTGTGTGTGTGTGTGCAAGTGTGTAATGGCACTCAGGGCTTTGCACCCTCCTGCCTTTTTCACTCAAAACTAGCATGCTACCATTTGAGCAACACCTCTACTTTTTTTTTCTTTGTTTTGTAGCTACTGGGCCTTGAACCCAGGCCTGCGTGCTGCTCCTAAGTTCCATTTTTTTTGCACAAGGCTAGCATTCCACCGTTTGAGCTACAGCACCATTTCCAGCTTTGTGTGATTAATTGGAGATAGGAGTCTTGTGGACTTTCCGCTCGGGCCGACTTTGAACTGCCATCCTCAGATCTCAGCTTCCTGAGCAGCTAGGGTAACAGACATAAGTCACCAGTGTCCTCCTAATTTTCAGCTTTTTTTGTTGTTTGATTAGATGCTTTTTTTTTTTTTTTGGTTGGTCGTGGGGCTTGAACTCAGGGCCTGGGCACTGTCCCTAAGCTCTTCAGCTCCAGGTGAGCGCTTTACCACTTAAGCAACAGCACCACTTCCTGCTTTTTCTGTGTATGTGGTGCTGAGGAATCCAACCCAGGACCTCTTTTTTTGGGGGTGGGGGGTCCGGTTGTGGGGCCTGAACTCTGGGCCTGGGCACTGTCCCTCAGCTCTTCAGCTCAAAGCTAGCACTCTACCACTTGAGCCACAGTGCCACTTCCGGCTTTTTTCTTTTTGCTTATGTGGTGCTGAGGAATCGAACCCAGGGCCTCATGCATGCAAGGCAAGCACTCTACCACTGAGCTACCTTCCCAGCCCCCCAGGGCCTCTTTCATGCAAGGCAAGTACTCTGCCACTGAGCCATCCTCCCAGCCCTTGTTTGATTAGAGATAAAGAGTCTCACAGACTTGTCTGCTCAGGCTGGCTTCAAACCTAGATCCTCAGATTTCAGCCTTCTCGCAGCTGGGATTACAGGTATGAGCCATGGGCACCTGGCTCTGATAACAGCCTTAAATCTAAGTAAATAGCACACCATGAAGTCGGCTTGCCCATTTGTCCCCAGCTAGAGAGAAGTGAGTCCAGTTTCTCATGGGGTGTTCACAATGCCATTGAGTCTCAGGGGCACCCTCTGGGAGGTGCAGTCCAGCTGATTGTCTTGGAGACCTGTGGGGCACTGCCTGTTGAGAAACCTGATGCCAGGGCTAGCATGCCTGTGTTGGAGCCCCGCTCAGGGCCAGAGCCCCCGACCTCTGCACTGGACTCTGGTGAGACCACAGAGTGGTCATGATGGCGCAGCGTTGGCATGACTTCATGCTCACGAGGTAGACTGGACTTGGCTGAAGTCATCTCTGCTCAAGTCTTGGATGCTGTCTTTGCCAGGGCCACTGTTCACAGCACACCTGTGAGACGCTCACTGGGGCCGGCATCACAAGATCTGTCCGATACAAGGACTCCCGTAAGCGCACGGCGAGTGTCAGCATTGCCCACCCCTTCTGGCCGCCATCTCTCTGGCCTCCCACGGATGACCCCACAGTCTGTGCCTAGGGCTCTGGCTTCCCCGCTGTGCGGGCCTGCTCGGCGATTGTCCTCCGAGCCCCGGAAGAGGTCTGTGGTGAGGTAAGACACGGAAGAGGTTAGTCTGTCCTGCCAGGGAGTGACGCAGGGGAAGAGAGAGGGCCACACAGACTGGGCCTGCTATTTGGTATGGGCATGGTTTAAGTGTGTTGTTTGCTTATAAGTATTAAAAAAATAATTTTTATAGGTGTTAGAAACCTTTAAGTCAAAAAATAAGATGTTCTTAACCAATTCATGGATAGTGATGCTTTCAGTGTTTTCTTCAGTAATAGGCTTTTTTTGTTTGTTTTGCAGATCCTAGGGCTTGACTTGAACTCAGGGCCTGGGCACTGTCCCTGACTTCTTTGCCTACCACTTGAGCCACAATGCTACTTCCAGCATTTTCAGAGTAGTTTGTTGGAGATGAGAGTCTCATGGCTCAGGCTGGCTTCAAACCATGATTCTTAGATCTCAGCCTCCTGAGTAGCTAGGGTTACAGGCTTGAGCCACCGATGCCTGGCTTCTCAGCAATAGTTTTGAGAGTTGGGTACTGTGGGCTGCATTGGTATTATAGGCACGCCTGTCCGGTGCCTACTGGTCACCAAAGATGCACCACTGGGGAAGCCTGTTACGGGATGAACGTCCAGTGCCTGGCCGGGCTCAGGCCAGACCTCCTGTGGATGGGAAAGGGCGAGGTCTTAGGGAGGCAGAGCAGGCAGGGTTAGGCATGAGAGCCTCTAGGCGCCCCAGCAGGTGGACAGAGGTGGTTCCCCGACGTGTGTCGTCGCTGCTCTCTTCCCGTTGAGTGACTGAAGAGAGGGGCTGAAGTGGGCAAAGGTAAAGCCGGGCTGGTGAGGATTTGGGGTTGAAAGGAAAATGATCCTCTTGCACAAGAAACAGGTGTGAAGGGAGGACGTATTTACAGCGAGCTGCCCTTGCAGGTGTGCGGCACCAGGCTGCAGCTCCTGCCACGGGACGGTCTTCCAGAAGTTTGCTTCAGCCCCAACCAGAGCTCAGGGGAACGTTTTTGTAACATTTTCCTTCTCTTATAGAACTGAGCTGGCACAGGAGCTCCAGCAGAAGGCCAGCTGTGCGCAGGTGGGCCTCGGCCTGTCCTCCAGTGAGAGCCCTTCACCTCCATTCTCCATACCTCAGGCGCTTCATTTTTCTCCTGAGAAAAGTGATTTTTCTCCAGAAGGCTCCACTGTAGGAGAGGCTCAGGATGAAGCCAAACCTTGCAGTGGCTCGCACTCTAGAGAGGTAGGCCCACCGGCCACAGAATGACTCACCCTGTCTCTGGGCAACCAATTCCTGCAGATCTAGACCCTTCAGGACCCAGGGCCACAGAAGGGCTAAGGAGCTGGTTGGGGGTCAGAGGTCAGGAAGTGGGGGCAGGGCAGCCCCGCACTATTTGAAAGGTACTTTCCCTCAGGTGGGGCCTACAACTTTCCACGATGGCTGACAAGGGTGTTGGGTTCTCCCTCCAACTATGTCCCTTTCTAGGCTATCCTCATCGACGTGGGGCTGGATCAGCTCAGCCTTGCTCCTGAGGAAGGCAGGCCCCCAGCTGCCCTCCCCCTCATCGACGTGGGGCTGGATCAGCTCAGCACTGCTCCTGAGGAAGGCAGACCCCCTGCCGCCCTCCCCCTCATCGACATGGGGCTGGATCAGCTCAGCCTTGCTCCTGAGGAAGGCAGGCCCCCAGCTGCCCTCCCTCTCAATGACGTGGGGCTGGATGAGTTCAGCCTTGCTCCTGAGGAAGGCAGACCCCCAGCCGCCCTCCCCCTCATCGACGTGGGGCTGGATCAGCTCAGCACCGCTCCTGAGGAAGGCAGACCCCCAGC